ATCTAAAACGTAGAGTTGGGCACACAGTGGGCACTCATTAAGAATTTTTTTTTTTTTTTTTTTTGGTACTAGGGATTGAACTCAGGGGTACTCGGCCACTGAGTCACATCCCCAGCCCTGTTTTGCATTTTATTAGAGACAAGGTCTCACTGAGTTGCTTAGCACCTCGCTTTTGCTGAGGCTGGCTTTGAACTCATGATTCTCCTGTCTCAGCCTCTCGAGCCACTGGGATTACAGGCGTGCGCCACCATGCCCAGCTACTTATTAAGAATTTACTGAATGCATTCTTGCCTTCCCTGAACTTCTTTCTTCCATTCCCCTTATCATCCCAGGCCCACTGTTTCCGCGGTTGAAGGTCAGGATGAGAAGAATGTGACCTTCTGGGGGAATCCACGGCCAATGTGCGAGGAGCTGCAGGGGCAGAAGCTGGTGGTGAAGGAGCAACGGCCATGTCTACATGCACCTGCCTGCACAGACCCTGAGGAATAGAAATCCTAATATCTGTCGCTTCTACCCTGCTCCCCTTACTCTCAGACTTCAATAAATCATCCTCTTGGAGCTCTTCTAAGATTCCTTAAAGGAGGAAAAGCAACCTGACCCCCTCCCCCAAAGTGAGGCAATAGCATCTTCTAGAGGAAAGTCACAGCAGCCTATTATGGAAAACAGTATTTTTCACTGTGGCTGCTTCTTAGAAGGTGTGAAAGTAAGTGTCAAACCCCAACTTCCCTTTGCCACTGCCCTAATGCTGTCTTGGACCCTCTAGTACCCGAGGACTGCTCAGCACGTCCCTCTGCAGAGCTCTGCTTTGTGGATTTCATGATTGGCTATTCCCTCTGGCAAGTACTTCTTGATTGGCCAGAATTCTGGCTAGTTGTTATCTCCCTGCCTCCTGAAGCTCCCTAGGTTCCCACCCACAAGATCCTCTCCGCTGGCCAATTCCATGTCAATCTACCATGAACAGCGGCAGAGGCGTGGCCAGTGTTGGCGCCCTGCCGAGCTAGCACCTGCACCCACCCACTCCCCAGCAGCCCAGTTCCAACACCACAATTACCAGTGACAAATAGCTTCGGGAGGCTGGGGGCGGACTGAGGAAGTGGGTATGATGTGCTTTGAGCTGAGGTGAGGGTATAGAGAAGTTAGAGTCAGCATCCATCTGGAGGAGCCCCTAGGACAAACCCAGACACATATTCCTCAAGCAGTTGTTCATTTCACTCAACACTTAAGCGTCTGCTGTATGCTAAAGCTAAGATTGGGCATCTGGGGTGGAGGAGGGCTGGTAGAAGGAGAGGACATCTGAACCAGGGAACAGACTCAGAATAGGCATTCCTTTCATTCGAACATCTATTCAACACTTAACGCCTACTGTATACTAACAATAGTGCTGGACATCAGGGGACATAGGAAAAAAAGAGGAATCAGAGCAGCACGTCCCTGCACAATGAAGAGAAAAAACCCAGACCCCAGTGCTCTTAGCATTTGCTTATTAATTTACCACTCACTGAATGCTGAGCCCCTCCTGATGACCCACATAGGAATCATTACAATAATTATGGCAACAGCCAATACTTAGAAAGTACTTACTGTGTGCCCAGTAGTGTCTTAAGGCTTTCCATAAGCGTGAACTCATTTAATCCACAATAAACCCATGAGGGTCATTATTTTTCTCATTTTGCAAAGGAGAAAAATCCTCATTTTGCAAAGGAGAAACCAGCCACAGAAAGGTAGTGGGCTGGACATTTTTGAAGCACCATGGATTGTGGTGCAGCCTTAAATATCAGAAGCAGAGTTCAAAACTGTACCGTTGGTAGAGAGGACCCCTCTGTGTGTGAAGTGTCAGGTGCGAGATTTGAGACATCTGGAGTCTTTGTCAGCACCCTTATCTGACTTCTCTGGATGGACTTCCCATTATGTAAAATGGGCTAATGGATGGGTTGAAGTGAAGACAAGTCAGTGAGTACTTGGTCATTTTGGCAAGACTAAGTCAAAGTGAGGGTTTCTGGTGGCTACTACAAGGTGAGAGAGAGATGTGTGTATAAGAAAATGGCAGCTCTGTGGGTGCATTATGAGGTACATATCTTTGTGTGTCTATATGCTATAGACCTATGGAGTTGTGCAAGAATTAAGAATGTATTGAATATATATGAATGGTGTGAGGTTACAACTGTGCATGTGTCTTAACTGTGAAATAGAGCGTGTGTGTGTGTGTGTTTGTGTGTGTGTGCACGCACATTAAGGTGGCATAGATATGTATGTATAGATGTGTTCCTAATTAACAACGAGGAAAATCATTCTTGGCCTTTCCGTATGCTCATTCCTGCTGAAGAAGATGGAGACAATGTAGAGAAGCCTTACCTCTCTGCCTCCAGGAGTTGAAATACTCCTGGGGGGAAATCTACATCTCCCACAAAACAGTCTACAAAATATTACTAGCAATTAAATCACCTGGAGGCTACAAATACCAGGAACCTGGGAACCAGGTCCCTAGGAAGAGGCATAGCTTGAAGACAGTCCTAAGGAGCCAAAATTTAGGCCTAAAAGAGCCAGAGAGGTCTAGAGACCTGCAACTGCTCCTCTTCCCCAGAGAGGTCATCACAGGCCCTACATAGCTTTTTTTTTTATTAGCAGTGGAAGCACATATTTCAAAATATTCAAAGAAACCAATTTGTGGGCAGTTCCCATTTGGAATGCCAAGAGTGCATCCTGGAGGGAGGAGGGAAGACCAGCCAAAGAAAAGGCCTGGAAATGGGACTGAAGATGGCTGGGACGTCAGAGACAGTAAAAAGGATGATTTAGGTGATGTCTAACTTGGGGACTGTGGGAGCCTAGGGAAGAAGAGATGGAATCTGAGTGGGTGGTTCCTGGAAACTGGCCAAAGGCAGTCCCCTGAGAGAGGGAGAAAGGGAGAGGGCATTCCTAGCAGAGGTTACAGCACATGCTAAAGTACAGAGATTGCGGGTGATCATCACCTTTTTATGATAGAAAAAAAATGTCAGGGATTTAGTCACTTTCCCAACCATATGGTGAAAATCTGTCTTGAACTCAAGCACTGTGACTCCAGTTCCCACACTATTGGTCTTAGGTCAGTGATGGATGAAGCAGAATGAACAAATGAATAAGTGAATGATTAACCTGAAAATCCCCCAGGCAAAAGACTCCAAATCTGCCTACTTGGATTATCTTCTGCCACCTCATCTGATCCATTATCATTGCTCAGTACGTTAAGGCCCTATACAATATGGTCCCTGCTAACCTCTCTGATCTTGTCCCCTACCATAAACCCCCTCATTTTGTTCTAGTCATACAGGCATTGGCTGTTCTATCTTCCTCCACTCCCCACCACCCATACTGGGAATTGACCCCAAGGGCACTCTACCACTGAGCTACATCCCTAAGCCCTTTTATTTTTGAGACAGGGTCTCACTAAATTGCTGAGGCTGGCTTTAAACTTGCAATCCTCCTGCCTCAGCCTCCTGAGTCTCTTGGATTACAGACAAGCTCCACAATGCCCAGCTTCCTGGCACATTCTTTAAAAAAATATATATAGATGAGGGCTGGGGTTGTGGTTCAGCGGTAGAGTGCACGCCTAGCACATGTGAGACCCTGAATTCAATCCTCAGCACCACATAAAAGTAAATTAATAAAAAAATAGATATTGTGTCCAATTATAACAAAAAAATAAAATATTAAAAAATATATAGAGATGGTAAACTGAACATGACCCTTTGGGAATAACCTGGAGTTCTTGGATTCCCTTATCTGTAAAATGGAAATTATATTATCCACCATAGGATTGTTGTGAGGTTTGGATACAGTCAGTCAACAAACATTTGTTTTTATTGAAGTCAGGATCTTACAGGTTTGACAGAAGGGCTCCTAAATCTCATTTGCTCATGTGCAGATATTATTTGGCATCCTGCCTCTGTGGAAACTTTTCAAGTGCAGGGGAAGACAATCATGGACACTAATGACACCAGGTTTGAGCTGTGTCTAGAGAAGAGAGATGGGGCATGTAGACTGAGTGTTGTATGTGGGAATGGGAGAGCAAACATGCATCAAGGCTAGTGCTACAAGGAATATGTCTGTGTTGCATATCTTGGTGTCTCCATGATCATCTGTGGGTACATATTTTCTCTGGGTGTCCACGCTTGTGTGAGCTTTTCCAGGTCTCTGTGTGTCAGCATGTTGTCCATGTATGTATGCATGTGTGTACTCAACATGCTCATGTGTTAGTTACACCGAGTTTATGTCTGTATACTTAAATGGGTATGTGTTCTCTGTCTGAACATGTCCCCGTGTTCCTTTACTTTTGTGTGTGTCATTCCTGTGTGACTCCAGACCCTTGGCCACTGGAGGCAAGGGTATGTACATTGCCCAAGTCTCCACCTCCACTTGTCTGGTGCTGTTTACACTGCCTCCATGCCCTTCTCTCTGCATAGCTAAGACTGTATGGACATGGGAGATTGATCTCCGCGCGGGACACTGCGTGTGACCTCACTCCTCGCTGAGGGGGTTATATCTCTACTTTTATGTCTCCCAGTGTGACTCCACACCCACCCCCCAAATACCTTACCTCGTGAATATCAACACTGGAAAAGCCCAGTATTTGGGGTGGGGTGAGGTTCTTGTATATGAGTGCAAGTGGATGCAAGAAACAGGATGAGGTGGTTGGGGGTGTGCGTGCCGGACGACCCCGACCCTCCGGACAAGTACCCCACCCCCACTCCCCAAATTGCGCATCCCCTACTGGAAGGGGGAGGGGAAACAGGATGCGGCGTGGCGCGTGCGCAATGCCAGCTTCAGCACCGCGGACAGCGCCTTCGCCCCCGCCTGCCGGCGCGCTCCACCACCGCCCCAGCACTGAAGGCGCGCTGACGTCAGTCGCCGCTCCGCTACAAACTCCCCTTCCCAGTCGTTTTGGTCCCGTCCGCGCCGCCGTGGGTCCAGCCGGACTGCACCACGCGAGGCGCGAGATAGGGAGTCACGGGCGCGACCATCCGCGCTGCGGCGGCGGCGACTCAGCGCTGCCTCAGTCTGCGGCGGGCAGCAGAGGAGTCGCGTCGTGCCTGAGAGCGCAGCAGTGCTCCTGGGCCCCGTGAGGTCCGCCCCCGCGGGTCCTGATCAGACTGCCCCTAGGACCCCCCTGCCCCAAGCCGCAGCCATGAACTACCTGCGGCGCCGCCTGTCGGACAGCAACTTCATGGCCAATCTGCCGAATGGGTACATGACAGACCTGCAGCGCCCGCAGCCGCCCCCGCCGCCCTCTGCTGCTAGCCCGGGAGCCACGCCCGGTTCCGTGACTGCCACAGCCGAAAGGTCCTCCACAGCTGCCCCTGTGGCCTCTCCGGCAGCCCCTAGTCCCGGGTCCTCGGGGGGCGGTGGCTTCTTCTCATCGCTGTCCAACGCGGTCAAGCAGACCACAGCAGCTGCGGCCGCCACCTTCAGCGAGCAGGTGGGCGGCGGCTCTGGGGGCGCAGGTCGCGGGGGCGCCGCCGCCAGGGTGCTGCTGGTCATCGACGAGCCGCACACAGACTGGTAAGCCACTGACGCGCCTCCCCGTGGGCCTGGGTCCCCAGATAGTTCCACGGTGAACGAGCAATTATCGAGCGCCGCTTATGTGCCTGGCACCTGACCCCTCACCCAAATTATTTTCCTGTAAATTACTATGCTGGGCGCTTCCTGTATGTCCTGCCCTTGCCTTCCCAAAATCTTCTCGATGGATTCAGGGGGCAATTATCTTTGCCTGTCGTGTACGTCTTCCTCAATCCTTCTCCCAAAAGTCTTTGACTTCAGTAGATCCTGTGAGACTTCAAGAGCCAAATGTGCCCTGCCACCCCTGCCCCATTCTTGCCCTGAAGGCCGAGTCCTCTAATGAATCTTGTAAGTATTTATGGAGTACCTGCAGTATGCCTCACCCAAGAGTCCTTCGCTAAGGCCTTTGACCTCAATGAATTTTGTGAGCATTTTTTGAGAGCCTATTACCATACACTGTTTTCTCAACCCTTGCCCTCAGACCTTCTTTCTAACAGGTCTTATGAGCATGTATACAGTCAGTGAAATGTGTCTCCCCTGGCCCCCTCCTCAGAGACCTTTTAAACCATTTGGTAAATACTGATGGATGTGCCTGCTGTTTATTCCACTCCAGCTCTTCACCAAGACTTTGCCTTTAATGGATCCTGTGAACCTTGATTGAATGCCTTCTGTATGCCCCAACTCCAGGGCCTCTCTCCAAGGGGACATATTTTCTCCAAAGGATTTAGAAAACATTTATTAAGTGCCTGATGTATGTCCCATCCCCCAAGGCCTCTCTCAAACAAATCACTTTCTTCCAGTGAATTCCATGAGCATTTTTTGAGCCTTCTCTATGTGACTCATCATCAGATTCTTTCCTAAACATCTTTTCCTACAATTAATCTAGAAAGTATTTATTGAGTGCTTCCTGTATCCCCACCCCCATTAGCAAACTACTTCTTTAGAGGACTTTCCTTTGGTGAATACATCTAGCTTTGATCAACTACCTGCTGCAGTGTGAGCCCTATCTCCAAATCCTTTCCCCAATGCCTTTTCCTTCAGTGGTTTCTCACAGCATGTGTTGAGCACCTTTTGCATGACCCAACCTTAGACCTCTCCACACAGGCCAATGAGCATTTATGAGGTGCCTTCTGTATGTTCATGCCTCTTCCCCCAGAGTCTTTTTCTTGCAGTGGAGCCAGGGAGCACATATGCAATGCCTATGGCATACAGGGAGTATATTCCCCTCCATTACCACTAGGAGAACCTGCCCCAATCATAAGCCTTCTCCCTGAGGTATTTTCCTTCAGTAAATCCAGAGCCCATTTTATAAGGGTTACATCTTCCCATTCCATTCAATACCCCTAGAATTCCCCCTCCCAGTCTTAAGTTCAAACCAAAGGGGCTTTTAGTCAATCTAAGCCAGTAAACATTTACTGGAGCACCTACTCTATGAGTCATTCTCAATATCTGTTTTCCAAGTCTCTGGAATTTTCTGCCCCTACCTCAAGAGCGCATTCTCCAAGTATCTACTTCAGCCTAAATTTATTGAGTACCATCTGTTTACTATTTAGATCACCCTTCCCCCTAGGACCCCTTACCCTACAGCCTTTCTTATTTGTTCTACAGATATTTATTGCATACTTTCCATGTGTCAAAATGCGAGAAGCACTTATTAAGCACTACTGTATTCTAGGAAGAACCCTCCTTCAGCTCCCCTTACTTCTAATCCCAACCACTTGTTGGCTTCACTATAGCTTTTCCTGCATTCAACCCCACAATCATTTAATGAGCACTTATTGGATACTCGGAAGAGCCCCATATTCTCCTCCCCCTCTGTGGTCCTAATCCCCCCTTTAACAATCTCTATGCTGCCTTTCACACTACACAGTCCTGAAAGCTCATGATGTGTATTATTTCCCATCTGTTCTGACTATATTCCCTCCTCCACCTAGCCATCTTCCCAGCTGTGCTCCCCTCCTATTAACCCAGAAAGCATTTATTAATCTCTTTCTGTATTCTGTTCAAATAAACGCATGTCCATCCTGCAGCAGACTGCTTCAGTCTTTTCTCCATCTACATTATAAAGCATTTATTGAGCGCATGAGATAATTCCTTCACAAACGTCCATTCCCCAAGGTGCTATCCTCCTGGCTAAATTTGCTCCATTGAAGTCAACAAACATTAATGAGGCCCCTGTTGGATTCTGGTAACCCCCTTCTTTAGACTTCCTTTCTCCTCTTTGACCTTCCAGACAGGTTCCTTATCGCTTTTTCCTGCATTCCATCAAACATTTATTATCTACTAAATACTGACAAGTCCTTTCCCCTTTCCATAACAACTCCAATGTTTTCTATTTTTTTCTTCTAATTTGTCCAGCCAGCACCTGCTGAATTCAGTGCAAGAGCCTTCCTTTCTATTCTGCATCCCAGAAGCCCCTCTTTATCCTAACAGTTCCTCCAATATTTTCTTCCAGTCTTCTAGCAAATATTTATTTAGTGTCTACTAGATGCTCAGCGTGGGAACAGAGCCCTGAAACACCAACTTGCAGACTTTCAGAACTGTGAAAGCTTCGGGGATTTCAACCTGGAAAAGGAGGAGCTTTGAAAACTTTATAACAAATGCACACCTCAGTACAGTCTGACACCTTCCCTGAAACTTCACCAATCTTGTTTCTTCCTGAGTCTCAATTCCTGCATGGTTTAAAATTGCAACATCTGAGTTGAGACATCTCTCCCTTTTAGAGACAATTTAGTCTAGTATTTTTCAAACTGTGGGTCACATATTGGCTTAAGAGCAGAATGTCACTTTCTTCATGAAGGAGGATAAACGAAGGTAGAAAATAACAGAGTATGTTACACATAATAAGTGGAGCTGTTTAATAAAACTATTATTCCAATAAGATATATGACATATACTATATAATGCACATGTTATATAATGACTTTATGGTGTATAATACATCTATATGTGTATATTTTTCTTCACGAAATGGAATAAAACAGAATAGGAGATATAAAACTACATTGCACATGGTAAGGTAATTCTTTACTGGAATTTTATTTGAATTATATATGTATACTCATATTCATTCTACTATACATTCTAGAGACATATACACATAAAATATAATATACAACATTTTGTGTGTTATAAATTATATAAGACATAGCCCAAGTTCTATTTTCTGTGTAACATATGTCTTATATAATATATATGTGTGTGTTTCATGGATTATTATGTAAATGTGTATATAGTGAGCTATATAAACTATATTTCTTATTGTGGCTTCTTTTCTTAGATAGACTTCCCTGGAAGCAGACCCTTCACTTAGCATCTCTGTTGGTCTCAGAGGCTCATTTGATCGGTGATCCATTCCCTCATCTTTGAGGGATACCTGGGCCTTGTGTCCTCGCCCACTTCTAAGGCTCTGGCTGCTCTATTTGTCCACTTACCATTAAAGTTGAGCAAGGAGTATTAACAGATACCCAAGTGCATTGCCTGGGTGTCAAACATTCTCCTCCCTGTCCCCAATATGTACCAGAAGCCCTATCTCCTCATAACAATCAAGGTCATGTCACTCTGCCAGAGAGTGACGTCTCTTCACTCGACATGAGAAACCTGAAGTGCCCAGGTGGTAATTATAACTTAGAGTTTAATGGGATTCTTGCTGTGTCCCCTGGTAGCAGTGTTCCCCCTTGGAGAAGCAGGACCTCTAACCTTGCAGAGCCCTGAGGGAACAGGAAGCACACATTCCAAAAGTGGATCACTGGGATTGATGGTAAGCTGGGCCACTCCTACTTTAACCTCGAGTTCCCAGACTCATGTACTCTACCTATTAGGAACACAGCACATATAGTGGACACTGATTTCGAATTTACTGTGTTTGGGAGGATGGTACCGACTCTTGTATGGTATCAACCCCAAGATAGGGTCTTAGCTATGTTAGCTATGACTGCAACAAGCAATGTCATTCTATCAGGCCAGTGGCTTCTGGGTGGTTGGTATATAAATAAGCTCATCCGTTGATTCCATGGTCACAGTCCACTTTTTAATTTTTCTTTTTGCAGTACTGGGAGTGGAACCCAGACCTTCAAACATGGTAGCAAAGTATTCTACCACTGAGCTACTTCCCCAGCCCTTTTTTATTTTTTATTTTGAGACAAGGTCTCACCAAGTTGCCCCAGCTGGCCTCAGAACTTGCAATCCTCCTGCCTCACCCTCCCAAGTAGTTGAAATTACAGGCATGTGACACCATGCCTGGCATCACAGGCCACTTTTGCATTTCTTTACTTTGCTGTAATATGTGTCCTTTGGTTTGATGCAATGTTTATGTGGGATCCCATGCTGCTGGGTCAAACATTGTGTAAGCCCTTGGACAGTGATGCTGGCTGAAGTCCTTTAGTCAGAACAGGCAAACCATACATAGAATATTCCAGTCAAAAATAGATCACTATTCTTTCCAGGGTGGAAGGGGCTTAATGTAGTCAGCTTTCCCCCAGGTATCTGGTTGGTCTTCTTGAGGGATGGTGTCATATCAGAGACTCAATGTTGATCTCTGTTGCTGGCAGATTGGACACTCAGCTGTAATGCTGTTGGTCCCACACATAGCTTACTTCTCTGCTGCTATTGCCACTTCATTTGTGTGCCCATCTGCTAGCACTGGGGCGGCTGATTAGAGAGGCTGGCTGACATCATCTGGCTGACTCATCCTGTCTACCTGGTTGCCTAGTGCTACTTCCATGGTGGATTCTGCCTGGTGGGTGTTAACACACAATAAAAAGATCTTCTCTCCTCCCTTTTTGCCCACTTCCATATGTCCACCCACATTTCTATGCCCCACACTTCCTTGTCCTGATCTTCCAACCTTTTCCTTTCAGGCCTCTGAGCAACCAGCCAAGCCATTCACCATTGCACAAAAACAAATATATGTATTCTAATCTTGAGCCATTTCTCTTTTCGCAAAAAGTGACAAGTGGGCAGCCCAAAGATCTACCATTAGGATCACTGCCATTGTCTTTTATTCAAAGTGGGGCTTCCACCAACAGACTGAGATAATCCATTTGAAGACCAAGCATAAGCTTTTCCATCATTCATTAGCTTGTTGTAAGGAGTCCCTTAGCTGAAGGAGGCATCAGCATAACAATTGTGGAAGAGGTAGGGATCTGGGTTCCCTGCTCATGCAGATTTCTTGGTCTTGCATGGGGTCAATCCTAGCTGCTGGGCCCATTTGACCTTTTTATATGGTGTGCCTAGAAGAACCCAGCCCATAATGGGCTCCTGATGCATAGTCACTTGGTACCCCATGGTCAAGCATTATTTATCAGAGCTCAGTTCTGCAGTAGGATTTTTTCTCAAAGGCATATAATTCTTTGCTGCAGATGGTATGGCCTAGCTCCAGAACCCCAAGGGCCTCCCATTTGGGTTTCTCATAGTCTCCACACATTTTTCCTCACTAGTGACACCTCCAGTATTGTAAGATCTGCCAGATCATATGGCCTAAGTGGCAGGACTTCTTGCACCATAGACTGCACCTGCTGCAGATCCCTTCTGTGTTCTGGGCCCCACTCATAGCTGGCAACCTTACATGTCACCAAAAACATAGGAAAGAGTAATATTTATTTTCAGGTATGGAATGTGCTGCTTCCAGAACTGATGGAGGTATACTGGGTATTTTGCTTTGCTCTTCGTGGTGGAAGTTGCAAGATTAAATGATATATCCTATCCTTTGGAGGGATTACCCTGGCATGCTTTGGACCGGTGAATCCACAAAAATTTTACTAATGAGACTTTGTAAGGTTTTTCTCCTGAAATCTGGGGCACATGTGTCTTATCACGACAATATTCTAACCATATCTTGCTCATCTTGCATAATCACTATGATGTAATTGATATAATTGTCCAGTGTGATAGTCTGTGGGATGTCCAGATGGTCCAGGTTCTTTTGCCTATATTGTGACACAGGGTGAGAAAGATAACATAGCCCTATGGCAAGACCATCAGTGAATATTTTTGTCAGTCCCACATATGAACTGTTTCTGATCCTCTAATTAGAATTGAAAAGAATGCATTCAGCAAATCAGTGATATAACTGAGGTCTTACTTATCTACTGTAGCAATGATAGCATGTCCAGTACAACAACTACAATCAGAGATATTACCTGGATGTACTTGCAGCAGTCTTCACATCCATCCAGCCTCCTCTAGGACCAAACTGGTTAAGGTAGATAAGATGGAACCACCACTCCTGCATTGCCTAGATCTTTCTGAGTGGCCATCATCCCTAGATGCATATAGCTTTGCATTTGATTTACTGTTTATTTGTTTTATTTATTTATTTTTTGATGGTGCTGAGGATCAAACTCAGGGTCTCATGCACACTAGACAAGTGCTTTACCATTGAGTTACAGCCCCAATTTTCTGATTTGATTGGGGCATGCAGGTGTGTCCCATTTCAGAAACTTCCATTCACACCTACTACAATTGTTCTTACCTCACAGGCCAAGTAACCCATATAGGAGTTCCAGCAACTACTAAACATGCCATTCCAATTATGCATTTGTGAACTGGGGAAGTGACCACAGGGTGGGTCCTTGAATCCAGGTGACACACTTTGAGCAGGACCTTGTTATTGATCTTTTTTGCAGGAAGGGAAGTGGGGGTAGATTCTGAGAGGGATGGCAATGACTTATAAGGCATGTTTAAGCAGAGAGAAGGTCCATATTCTCACATGGGGATGTGAGCTGCTTCTCCAGGCATAATGAGTTCAGGTGAGTCTTTGAGTTCAAGGTGTTTAACTTTAGCTGCTCATATATCTCCATCCCAAGCCTCAGGGTCCCACTCCTGTCCTAAGATTGCTAAGTCTGAAAATTTAACCTTCTCTGAAGGTCTTCCACACTTAGAATTAAACCTTTTTTTAATTTTTAATTTTTAGTTGTAGATGGACATGATACCTTTATTTTATTTATTTATTTATATGTGGTGCTGAGGATCAAACCCAGTGGTGCCTCACATATGCTAGGTGAGCGCTCTACCACTGAGCCACAACCCCAGCCCTAGAATTAAATCTTGAGCCTGGTCCTCTCCTCTGTCTACTCTGGCTGCAGATTAAGGTTTCCTTAAATGTAGTCAGGGAGATCCTCTAGCTTTCACATTTTGCCTAGAATTGGTGATTATTCATCCTGAGCATATCAGATATTTCTGCAGCTAATCAATGGTATTTATCAGTCATCCCAATCTGGTTAATTTCCATCATATCTCTCAAGTACCAGGGATATTTCACCAATTGGTTCTCTACTTTCCACCAGATTCCTATTACAGACCATCATCAGGAAAAGTCACTGCTGCTTCCAAACCTTAGGGTCCTGTGCTATCATCCTCCTCATAGGAGAATAGGTTACACAGCCTCTCTTCCCATTACTAACATTTCTAATCTCAGAAGATCTACTTATGGCCTAAATGGCATCTGACTTGGAATGCAGATTAGACCTGCTGCAAAGTATTTGTGTGACTATATCATATCAGGGGCTATCTGTGATCCAACTCCCATCACTAACGTCTATAGTATATGTCAGTTCCCATTTATGCTGACCCAGCTCCAGAATCCTATTAGAGTTTTCTTTGGAGTTTGACTTCTCTGGCCCACTGCTTTAGATTGGATTCCTGGAAATAGACCCTGAGGTGGAGATTTGCATGTGGTGTTTTGGGCTCTGCATCTGTGAGAAACATAGAATTCAGTGAAACTTAAGGCTGAGCCACCATGTGATTGAATCAGAGGCTTCAGCTGATCCCTGGCAGAGAAAGGGCTCTGGAGCCAGAATGGCCCTTCAGAGCTGGTCCAAAATGAGGCAAGAAGGCTAGGCTTTGTACCCCCTCAGAGACCAGAATTTGGCTAAGGGCTGCCCTCAGAAATAGGTCTAAGCTTAACCAACACACCCTGTGACAGAAGACTGTTCCCTGTGGGGACAAAGCCACGAGCTGTCAGCAACTGATATTCAAGATATCTTGGCCCTGAAGAGGAGGCCTGAGCAGAACACCACAATATCCAGCACATGTATGGTCAGAAAAGCTTGAAAACCAGTGATATACACTTATTGTTTACACTAGCCATCCATTTATAGATGAAAGATGTGCAGATCTGAGAGAAATTATTTTCAATACTTGTGAAGGGGAGAGTGTTGGTGAAGATGTGTATATGAGACAGAAACAGACTGAAGGAAACAGAAAGATTCAGAGGCACAGAAAGGAAAAGGAAATAGCTGTACTTGGGGTCTCTAGTGAAAGTCAGTTCTCATTTATGCAAGTGTATATGTGTCAGAGACCTGACTGTACACATGCCAGTGACCAGTGGTCCTGAGTGTGTCTCCTCTCCTCATCCCCCTTCTATGAGAAACCTATTTGCAGATGAGCTTTCATCTGTGGAGAGGCCTGTCAGGTAGGAATCTTGGGCGTAGGGAAAGAAGCCACTAGAAACTGGGCTCAGCTGGGATGGGGCTGGTGACAATGACATAGCAGTTTGTGATGTGCCTCTGCTGCTGCTGCTCCTCCTCCTTCCCATGACTTCCCCTCATCCTCAGCTGCATTTCTCCCTACCCACCATCATTGCTGGCTACAGCTTCTTTAGAACCACCCCCAGCCTGCACCACTCAATCTGCTGCTCCTTTTCAGATGCAGCTGTACATCCATGGCTGTTGTGTCCTTCACAGCACATAACATCCATGGTCAAGGTGCTCCTCCTTGGGAAAGGGCCAGAGAACAGAGAGATGCTTCAGGCCTCACAAGCAAACATAGGCACTGAGACATACTCAGACTGAAATATAAACAACCATAGGCACACTTTATATAGATATACTCTGAGGTTCTTTGCCACTTACAAAAACCTCAATCCAAATTCCAAGACTGTTATAATTGGCATAGCACTATTCATTTTGCAAAACTTCTCAAGAACATGTACAATAGCAGTGTGATGAGCAGATGATATTTTGGAAAATACCTGTTCTCTTATGGTTTAAGAAAGTATTTTACAATTTGAAACATTCTTTGACATTTAAACACCTCCATAAGGATAATAGGAGACTTTATTGTTCACAAAGCACTGCTAATTTTTTCAAAGTATTTCAAGCACTTTATGGTTTCTGTAGTGACACTGAAGGGGCAAAGGGGTCAAGGGACAAGCCTGGATCATGTCTTTCTTTCTAAGATGCCAGCATTAACAGATGTGCTCTTCTGTTTTCCTCTTAGGGCAAAATACTTCAAAGGGAAAAAGATCCATGGAGAAATTGACATAAAAGTAGAACAGGTAAGTTGGGGCAGATAGACTTGGGGTTCAACTATCTATACTGTGAACTGAGTGGTTTTTTTCTTTTTGCACTGGAGATTGAACCTAGGATCACTCTACCACTAAGCTACATCCCCAGACATTTTTTTTTTTTATTTTGAGACAGGATCTTGCAAGTTGCTGAGGCTGGCCTTAAGTTTGTGATGAGTTTCAGCCTCCTGAGTCTCTGGGATTACAGGCATGTGCCACTGCACCCTGCATGGGTAGTCATTTTTGTATGACGTGGGTGAATCACCAATTTTCTTTCCTTTCCAGGCTGAATTCTCTGATCTCAACCTTGTGGCTCATGCTAATGGTGGATTCTCTGTGGATATGGAAGTTCTGCGGAATGGGGTAAAAGTTGTGCGGTGAGTATTAAAAGGGACCTTGGTGTCATGGGAGAGGTATATGGACTCCCTTAGTGTTGAGGGAAAAAACCCATCTCCCTACCCATTCTTCTGTGAGCAAGAATTTAGGCATGAAATGTGGGGAGTTAGCTTTTCTTTTCTTCTGAAAAAGAGCCAAGAATCCTAGCAGGCTACATGCCAAACTTTTCAAATATGCATCCAACAAAAAATTTGTTAAGCATTTATTGCCTGCCAGGTGCCATTCTCAGGTCTTTACATTTGGCAAATATTTATGGAGCAACTTCTGTGTGCCAAGAGTTGTTCTACATGCTGTGGACCTAGCAGAGAATGAAAAAAAAAAAAGACAAAAATCTTCTGCCCTCATGATATTTTCAGTCTACTATGTGACAGACAAAATAAACAAAGAAATAAGAAAATGTAGTGCTAAGAAAAAAACAGAGCAGTAAAGCACAAATAGGGATTGTTGAATGGGGGTGGGGTTTTCAGTTTGGATAGGGTGGCCCAGTGGCATATAAAGGCAGTTGAGGAAAGACCTGAGGAGGTAAAGGAGTGATTCATGCAGATATCTGGGTAGGGGGAGGTAATGTTTCAGGCACAGCACAGTCCCTGAGGCTGGAATCTATTCTGGGCAGTATACTTTGAGGACAGCTGGTATAGAGAGAGACTGTGACCAGGGGGTGCCAAAGATGAATGGGTAAGCTGCAAGCTGACCTTGGGGAGGGCAGCAGGTAGAAAAGGATCACAGATGGGAAAAAGGTAGAAACTCTGCTCCAGGCAGAAGAAACAGCTTGTGCATGTGTGCAGAGGTAAGAAACCACTTTACAATTTCTGGCAGTTGTAAAGATTTAGAAATTCAGTCTCAAGGGTTGTAGGGAGCTTCTGAATGGACCATGATTCTCCTTCCACTGCCCCTCCCACAGGTCTCTGAAACCAGACTTTGTACTGATCCGCCAGCATGCCTTCAGCATGGCACGCAATGGAGACTACCGCAGTTTGGTCATTGGGCTGCAGTATGCTGGAATACCCAGCGTTAATTCTTTGCATTCTGTCTACAACTTCTGTGACAAGCCCTGGGTGGTAAGTGACAGGAAGGATGCTACTGGCAGAGAAAATAGCTCATGCATGGATATGGGAACTTGAAGCCACGCTATGGCTTATGGGAATTGAGGACATTTAAAAGCTTAGTGTTAGTCATCTTTCCATTACTATAACAAATTCCTGAGAGAATCAACTTATGAAGTCAAAAGGTTTGTTTTAGCTACCAGTTTTAGAGGCTTCAGTTCATGATGGATTGGTCCTGTTGCTTTCATCCTGTAGTGGGGGAGCACATCATGGAGGAAGAGCATGGCAGAACTAAGCTGTTCCCTTAAATATGCACCCAATGACTTAAAATCTTCCTCAAGGCCTTGTCTATCAAAGTTACCACCACTTCCCAATAGTGTGAGCCTCTAGATTACATTGCAGATCCAGACTGTAGTACTTGGGGTTCCAGCTTGGAGACACCCTTCCAGTGAAGGATCCATGTCTCTGACTCATGTCTCCTGATTCTCATAGTTTGCCCAGATGGTTCGACTGCACAAGAAACTGGGAACAGAGGAGTTCCCTCTGATAGATCAGACCTTCTACCCCAATCACAAAGAAATGGTAAGTCAAGGGGAAGTAGAGTGGGCAAGAAGGAAAAGATCCAGAGCTACTGCAATATTATCAATGGGTGCATTATCAACGGTATGATATCAGAGAGAGCCACTATTGCAAGTATGTGGAGGTGTGAAGTTCCTTTGTGATGGGTCTATTAATGCAGGCTGAGTGTCACTTATCAAATGCTCGGAAGTGTTTCAGATTATTTTTGAATTTTGAAATATTTATATATGCATAATGAGATATCTTGGGGATGGGGCTCAAGTCTAAATACAAAATTCATTTATATTTCAGATATATCTTATCCACATAGTTTGAAGGTAATTTCATGCAATATTTTTCATGAGCCTGTTTTTTGACTGAAACCCATCACATGAGGTTCGGAATATGGAATATTCATGGAAATATTCACTTGTGGTATGGAATATTTCACTTGTGGTATCATATGAGAGCTCAGAAAGATTTAGATTTTGAAACATTTCAGATTTCAGATTTATGGGTTAGGGATGCTCAACCTGACCCATGAATTTCCTAATGGTTACAAATGTGAAATAAATCATTAATTCCAATGTTTATCAAATCCTGATGCTCACATTATCTATTCTTGTCAGTATTAAAAATTGATTTCTAATGTAAATTAACAGAATTAATGTAATGAAATCAGATTACATCACATACAGAAATCAAGTAATTGTTACTACCATTATCAGGGGTTCCTCTTGATAAAAATTTTACCCATATTTCAAATTCAGATTGTAAAAAAAAGTGGACTGGGATTGTAACTCAGTGGAAGAGCACTTACATAGCATGTGTGAGGCACTGGGTTTGATTCTCAGCACCACATAAAAATAAATAAATATATAAATAAATAATAAAAAAAACAAGGTCTGTCAACAACTAAAATATTTTTTTAAAAGATTGTAAAAAAATCAGCAACAATATTATAAATTAAATTGTTTAGGGGCTGGGATGTAGCTCAGTGGTTGAACACTTGCCTCACATGTGTGAGGCACTGGGTTCTATCCTCAGCACCACATAAAAAAATAAATAAAATAAAGATATTGTGTTCATCTACAACTAAAAAAAATTTAAAAATTAAATTGTTTACAAATAGAAATAAATTGTTGGCTATTAATATCATAAATTATAATGACTAATATTATAAATTATCATTATATTATGAATTTTTGTTACCAATATAAATTTTGTGTATGAATCTGAAGAATTAAATTATAACTCTCATTAAATAATCATAGCATCATAATTACAAGTATCACCAGAAATTATTGGTTTTACTACAGATTATTAATAATATTATAAATTATGATATGGAGGCACAGTGATGGATGCTTTTAATGTCAGTGACTCAGGAGGCTGAGGCAGGAGGATTGCAAGTTCAAGTCCAGCCTGGGTAACTTAGTAAGACCCTGTCCCCAAAAGTAGAAAGGCCTGGGGATGTAGCTCAGAGATAGAGTGTCCCTGATTTCAATCCCCAGTAGTTCAAAATGTGTGTTTGTGCGTGTGTGTGTGTGTGTGTACAAATTATGTTCTAATACAAATTATAGCCAGGTATGGTGGTGCATGCCTATAATTCCAGCGACTATGGAGGCTGAGGCAGGAAAATCACAAATTCAAAGCCAGCCTCAACAACATAGTGAGGCCCTAAGCAACTTCACAATGGAAAGATCTCTCATGCTCCTGGATAGGCAGAATTAATATTTTCAAAATGGCCATACTACCCAAAGTGCTGTACAGACTCAATGCAATTCCAATTAAAATCCCAATGTCATTCCTTATAAATATAGAAAAAGCAATCATGAAATTCATCTGGAAAAATAAGAGACCCAGAATAGCCAAAGCAATCCTTAGCAAGAAGAATGAAGCAGGAAACATCACAATACCAAATCTTAAACTATACTACAAATCTATAGTTACAAAAACAGCATGGTACTGGCACCAAAATAGACATGTAGACCAATGGTACATAATAGAAGACACAGAAACAAACCTACATAAATACAGTTTATCTCATACTAGACAAAGGCACCAAAAACACACATTGGAGAAAAGATAGCCCTTCAACAAATGGTGCTGGGAGAACTGGAAATCCATATGCAGCAAAATGAAACCAAACCCCTATCTCTCACCATGCACAAAAATCAACTCAAAGTGGATTAAAAAAAAAAAAAAAGGAGCCAGTGGTGCATGCCTGGAATCCACTCGGAGGCTGAAGCAGGAGGATTGTAAGTTCAAAGCCAGCCTCAGAAATGGCGAGGAACTGAGTAATTCAGTAACTCAGTGAGACCTTGTCTCTAAACAAAATACAAAATAGGACTGGGGATGTGGCTCGGTGGTTAGGTGCCCATGGATTCAATCCCTAGTACCAAAAAAAAAAAAAAAAGATTTACAAGCATCAGTTTTCTAGTATTCTTTGTTCAGTAATATAAAGTAAATTGTTATTACTAATATCAAATCTAACTTCGGATCTTATAATTTATTACAAGTATTACCAATTAAGTTTATCAGTATAAATTATTAGTTCTTGTGTTGTAAATTAAGCTATAATTACTAAAATAAATCAAACAATTAGTACAAACAATGTAAAATACAGATCGTATTTGTAAGATACAGATTGTGGCTAATGTTACAAATTAAGATTACTAACATAAGGGCTGGAGATGTAATTTAGGGTAGAGCACTTGAATAACAAGTATGAGGCCCTGGGTCCGATTTCTGGCAGTGCAAAAAGAAAGATTTCTAATAAATACCATGAGGGTGTGTGTCGTGGCACATGCCTGTAATTCCAAATACATGGAAGGTTGAGGCAGAAGGATCCCAAATTCAAGACCAGCCTCTGCAACTTAATAAAACCCTGTCTCAAAATAAAAAGGGTTTAGAGTATTGCTCAGTGGTAAAGAACCCCAGGATGAAACCTCCAGTACCACCAAAAATAAATAAATAAATAAAAAAATCATGATTATCTATATTTTGAATTATATCATCTTCCTAATGTTAACATCCAATTGCTATTATAAATAATTACTAATATTAAAGTTCTGATTAATATTATAAATTTTGAGTACTGTAGTTATAAATCAAATTGTAGTAACAAATAAAAATTGAACCATTGTTACTAATACCATCAAAGTTTACAATTAATTTGCAAGGTTTTACCAATGTGATAAATTGTGTTTACTTCTGTAAATAATTATTACCAATTTTCTGACTTAAATTGCGAGTAAGTAATCACCATTAACTTAACATTACCCACATTGCTACTAATATTACAATCTTTATCTCTAATGCATTTTATGGTTGTTGATATATATTAACAGTGTTATGAATTAAATTTACTTACAATAAGAATTAAATCATTTATTCTAAGGAAATCCAAATTATTTATCATTATTATCATTTATCATTCTCTGAGAGACAGTACAGCAGAATGTGGTTAACAGCATAGACTCTGTAGCCAGATTTGGAAATGTTTCCTCCACAATTTATTAGCTACGTAACATAGAAAAATTTAATTAAACGCCTGATGCCTCAGTTTACCTGTCTAGGAAATGTAGGTCATAATAATTCCTGCCTCAAAGAATTATGTAAAAATTAAATTACAAATTAATGTAAAGTGCTAAGAACAGTGAATCTGGCATATAGTAATTGGTAAATGTTGATGAAGTCCCTCTTCTATTCCTACTTGGTTGTTTTTATCATGAGGACTTTGTCAAATTCTGTGTTTGTTGACATGATCATGTTATTTTGTCCTTTTTTAATACTATGGATTATGTTAATTGATTTTCATGGAAGTTGATAGTTTCATGAGCTTGTTAATCATGTGTCTGGGTGTAGATATTAGCATTTCTAGACTAAATCTCACTTGTTCATGGTATAAATCCTTTTTATGTGTTGTGGGATTCAGTTAGTATTTTGTTGAGGATCATGTGTATCCATATTCATATATGATATTGACTTGTAATTTTCTTTTCTAATAATATCTTTGGTTTTGGTATCTGGATAATATTACTCTCAAAGAAAGAATTTGGATTTAGTTTGCTCTTCTTTCCCTCATTTCTTAAGATGAAAGATTAGTGAGTTATGAACTCCCATTTTTACCCCAAATACAAATTGCAGAATCACATCAGTTACACATTCACATTTTTACATAATGCCATATTTGTGACTGTTGTATTCTGCTGCCTTTCCATAACTCACTTGAATCAAATGTATGAAAGATGATATGTCATAAGCTTTGTAATGTTTTGAACAACCAATAAAAAAAAAGATTAGGTTATTTATTGAAATTTTTCTTCTTTTTAAATACAGAGTTTCTTCCTTTTCTATTCTATTCTAATTCAGTCTCATCACTTGTTACAAATCTATTCAGATTTTCCATTCTTCTTCAGTCACTTTTGGTAGTTTGTGTCTTCCTAGGAATTTGTCTATTTCGAAATAGGTTTTCTTTATTTGTTGGCATACAATTGTTCATAGTATACTCTTATAATCCTTTTCTTTTCCCCTGTAAGGTCAGTAGTAATATCCTCCTTTATTCTTTTTTTAAATTTTTAGTTGTAGATGGGTACAATACGTTTATCTCATTTATTTATTTTTATGTGGTGCTGAGGATGAAACCCAGTTCCTCACACATGCCAGGCAAGTGCTCTACCACTGAATTACAACCACGGCTCCTTTTATTTTTTATTTTAGTAGAATTTTTAATCATTTTTCTAGTCTAGAAATTTGTAAATTTTGTTGATCTTTTCAAACAACCAATTTTCGTTTTAATAATTTTCTCTATAGTTTTTCTGTTCTCTCTTTCATTTTTTTCCACCCCAATCTTCATTGTTTCCTTCTGTTTGTTTTGGATTTAGTTTGCTCTTCTTTCCCTCATTTCTTAAGATGAAAGATTAGGTTATTTATTTGATATTTTTCTTCTTTTTAAATACAGGTAGGGGATAGTAGAGGATAGGAAAGGCAGCAGAATACAACAGACACTAGTATGGCAA